AACTGGGTTTTTTGTCCTTCTTAAATATGTTTTCTCTGAGGCGCTGATTGGCTTGGCCTTGGCCAGTGGTAGGTCCGTCTTGGAGCCGGCTGGCATTGGCTCTATCAGGCACAGGGGAAGCTTCTAGCAGCTTCTCACAGAAGCCAGCCCTGTAGCCATCCCTGCTACCAAAACCTTGCCACGCAAACCCAACACACGCTCCTCTGGACTTACTCCAACAGGTCCATGTCCTTCTTGTTTTGGGGCCCCCAGAGCTGGATGCAGTACTCCAGGTGGGGTCTCACCAGAGCAGTGCAGAGGGAGAGAATCACATGTCCCTTGACCTGCTGGTCACGCTTCTTTTGATGCAGCCCAGGATACAGTTGGCTTTCTGGGCTGCAAGTACACATTGCTGGGTCACGTGGAGCTTCTCATTCATCAACACCTCCAAGTCCTTCTCCTGAGGGCTGCTCTCAGTCCATTCTCCGCCCAGCCTATATTTGTGCCAGGTTTGCCCTGCCCCATATGCAGGACCTTGCACTTACAACTTATGTTGTATAACTTAAAATAAAAAAACTTTTTTTTTTTCTGGATATTGCTAAACTGTACCATACTTTTTAAAACTGAAGCTGGAGATTCTTTAAATGGTCTTTTCTTATCCTTTGTTTTTACACTTACAAAAGCATATTATAAGCATATATATTTATATCAAACAGAACTTAACTATACTGGGTAGGTGTTCTCCCTACTTTCAGTTACTAGTTTCTGTAAGCATGTTTTATCCTGTATGTTCTGTTCGCACTTGTGTTAATTTACTGAGCAGACTTCTCACTGCTGTTGTTAAATAAACAACCAATGTTTTGGGAGACATATGCTTAGGCTTGGTTGGATTTTTTGGTCACTGTTAAATTGCTGTGATCAAATTTAGAAAGAAAAAAAAAATCTTGACTGAAAAACAAACTTCTGGTTAGAATTTAAGTGTTTAAGTGTGTGCTGCAAATTCCCTTTTTTTCTGAGAAGAATCAGGTCGGGGGGGAGACATCACAACTGATAGTTATTAGAACAAGTGGTTATTAACTGTAACATCTTGACTCTATTAATAATAGCAAACAACTTTTCACACAGTACATTTACTTCTTGCACAGTTCACTCACGCACATGTGCTCGCACTCATAACTGGAGCAACAATTAGGAGGCCAAACCCAGCTGTTTACTCAGAAGCAGAGGGTTGTACTGATGCACCTGTGGCTTTGGCCCTGAAGGCCTCCTTTTTTTCATCGTATGTATGTATAGGCCTGTACTCTTTGCATACAGCAATCACTGTCATCTTGGATGTGGTTCGTGCTATACAGCCAGTTGTTGATGGTCATGCGTGCTGGTTGGCTTGTACAGATTTAGCAGAATCTTTGTGTTCAAAGTATATCAGTTTTTGTGGATTTAACAGGACCGCTAGTCTCCAGCGCTTGTAAGTTCCTGAAGACTGTTCCAGGCTACTGCTCAGTTTGTACTTTTCCTGTCTTTGTCCTGCTGATTTTTAGCAACTATTTCTTCATCCACACAAATAGCACCTATAGAGCAAAGCCAGCCAAACTCACAAATAAGGGATTTTTATGACATGGTTTGGACACCTGCCTAGAGTTTTTCTCAGAAGGAATATAGTAAAATCAAATGCAGACATTGTCTTTCTCTTGCCTTTTACTCCCATCACACCCCCAACAAATCCAGAGGCTTAATCAGTATTTATGCATTTTGCTATCCCACTGCACAGTATTGCAGTAGAACTCCAAAAACCCCAGGCAAATAAGATAGATGAAAACCTCAGTCTAGTAGATGAACATCAACAACAAAAAGGTGCCAAGATGGAGCTGGGCTTAGAACCTGGCTTACACCAGTTCTGCATATTCTAACTAAGCAGTCAAATATGAGGAACACGGGCGAGTCCCATGCTGTGGTTACTCCTGAGGGAGTCTGCTGGTACAAACCTGGCTCCTGGGTGTGACCATTGCCATGAAGGATGAGAAAGTGGTGGGAAACAGAGCACTGTGCAGTCTGTAGCGGAGGCTAGAAATGCTACAGCATCTGGGATGCCCTCTTATAGCTCAGTGCCTGTGTATAGGAGCTAACGTACTTCTTTAGGTGTTTGATTTGTTTTGGGTTTCTTTTCCACAAAGGTGTTTTAAACCCTTATACCACTTGATTTTTAGCTAATTGTTCAATATTCCTCACTTTAATAGATACTTCCAGAAAATATATTATCTATAGGCTGACTTTTGTGGGTGTTGCATTGCTAAGGCAAGATGGACTCACCAGTGTAGCATATGCTGAGGTTATGTTCTGTGTGCAGCCTCCTCATTCCCTGAAGAGTCTGGCAGATGTGATCCTGAACAGAGGGGAAAATACAAGCTCAAAGTGGCTAATGTGCTGCACAGCCTCACTACTGGAACATCCAACGCATGCTTCTAAAGCTGCTAAGGTTTTACTAAATTCCTTCGCAGGTCATGTTTGACATACAGAGTTTTCCTTACAGATTACAATGCTAGTTGGAACCTAACCGACACTTTTAAGTAGAGCTTGTTTTCTTTCTCTGGAACCTGCATCAGACTGAAGGAAAGGTTTCAGTTTGTTTCTTCTTGCTTTCTGATCTCACGAGGTGGGGGGGGTGGGCCATCACTCATTTAATGGGAGCAAACCAATAAAGCAGACAAGCAGACTTCCTTGCGGGGAGTTCCCCCCCGTCCCAGCTTGGATGTGTCCCCCTGCCATCTGCCTTCACTCAATTCTTCCTATCATTTCTCATCCTTAATTCATCTGTACTCTACCATACAACCAGCTACTTTAAAGGCAAAAAAATTAAATAGTCCTCTCCCCCAACCCTTTTTCTATGTTCCTTTCCCAGGCATGCTTGTCATTATATTTGCAGGTAAAACAAATACAGATCAGTCAGTCACTCCCTCAGTCACTCCCTCTGCAGCTTTCCTGAAGTGAACTCAAATGTTTGTTGATTGGTTTTAGAAATGCTGCATAGCCGGTACATCTTAAAGGTTTCACTTCCACATAATGTGCCTTTTTTTTCTTTGGGTTTGGTTTTTTTTTTTTTTCCAAATAAAGGTGTTACAGGGTTGGATATGAGAGCATAGATAAGTTTCTTGTTAACGCATTTCATTCAAACTGGAGTTTAAACACCTAAGGTTGCTTTTTTGTTTGAGATAACGTTTTTTTTTAGTATAATCAAGGCTTTTATATAAATAAATAGTGAAAATGAATATACAGAGTGTACGTGCTGCTTAACGTAGGAATGAACACAGGGTTTTTTTCCATATCTTTCTAATGTTATCCTGAGCATAGTTTTTTCAGCTCTGCAAGCTTTGAGTTAGGCTGCTGGGGTTTTTTTATTACAGACTCACTGGTCTGCACCACCATTCCCACAGTTCTTTACCAGTATTGCTTATTGTTGCTCTTCCTGGGATTCATTGTCTGTATCTCCCTTATTTTGCTTTCGTGTTTTGGCTTGCAAAGCCTGGGAATTTTTCTTGGAATAGAACTTCGCTGCTGCTAAAACATGTCTTTTACTCATTGCATTCTTTAAAACTTCAGAACGCTTTATTGATAGGTAAGCTGGTTTTCTGTTCTTGTAAGAAGTAATTGGTTGGTTTCCAAATGAGCAGTTTTATTTTTTATCCGTTTTAGGGAGTGAAATGCCAATGGAACCTGAAATGGCAATGCATGCTTCAAAACCACTTAAAAAATTTTCAGTATCCTATCTTCTTGTTTGGTGCTTTCTAATTTTTCAGAGTTTTGCTGACTCAGGCTACCTATAGGTAGTCTTCCATCTCTTCTAGAAATGCTCTTTCTTTTTTTATATTAAAACAAAGTAATTTCGGGGGGGGGGAGGGATCAGAGGGCGGGGTTGAAGCAAAATATAGGTAAGACTGAAAAATTGTCGGTCTTGATAGAGGAGGTTGCTGCAGTGCACAAGAATATTAAACCATTGAGGACTTTAAAAGAGAACTTGCTGTTAAAATGTGCATTTGGATGTTAATTGCATAAGGTAATTGAAACTTATTTACAGTCAGTTCAGTAGCATTGTGCTTCTCAAATTACAGGTGAGTGTTCTTACAGACCAGGTGGAAGCTCAAGGAGAGAAAATCCGGGACTTAGAAATCTGTCTTGAGGGGCATCAGTTGAAACTGAATGCTACAGAAGAAATGCTTCAACAGGTAAAAATCTGGATTGGAAAGCTTCTTGCATAATCTTCTCCAACAGAAGGGTGAACATATATAATGATCAGCTTGTCAGCATGTGTGCGTGCTTTTGGCAAAAAGATAAAATGGGGAAAAAATGTCTCTTTTATTGTTCTCTTGCTGCTTTGCACTTCCCTCCCCCTCCAATAAATGTTTCTTTGTTTTCCTGTTGCAGAAACATTTTACTGGCTGGTTGCATAATACTGTATGTGGCAGCATGTAAAATGAAACTATTGTGTCTTATTTGTACTGTGCTGACGAACTAAATTTGGACATGGTTGAGTAACTGGTTAGACAAGTTAAATGTATCTAATATATGTAGGAGTTATAGAATTAAGTTTTATTTAAATATCTTCTGTTTTCTTATGGTTTTGGAGCTCAACAGGTAGTAAGTTGAAATGAATTACTGTATCAATTTTGGTTCTATAACCATTTTTGCTTAATTTAGGAGTTTTCCCCTTATTTTTGAAAGAAAAACATATTTTCATTTATTTCAATGTACAGTTTCAGGCTATGTGATTTAATTTTTGCTCTTTCATGTTGTATGTTGAGGGAGCAGAACAAATGATAAATTAAATACCTTACAGTTCATGTGTTACTGCAGAGCTGGCAGGTCTATCGATGCAAAAGAACCTTCCTGGTGCAATTTTCTGCAATTACAGATGCAGGTCATCCACTGGTAATACAGTACATAGATATCAAAAATAGATTTGAAACTGTAAATGATCTTCAAAATCTGCACCAGAAATTTGCAGATAGATACTGTTCTTGATGAACTTACTTCATCTCCCCACCCAAAATGTTGTGTTATAATTTTATTTTTTTAGTCCATGTGAAATATATGTATTTCTATGAACTTTTCATGGCTTTAAATTACAGTTGTGTTAATCTATATAAATTTGGTTTGCTGTGATAAGGATCTGTGTACGTATGTATGTAACCAGTAGCAGTTTCTATAAGATAAACTTGTATCCTAAACCTTTTAAAGTTATAATTCTCCAAGCTTCTCTAAAAACAACTTGATCTCATGCAACTTTTGCAGCCCAAGATCCTTACAGCTGGGAAAAGTTTTATTCTCATACTTAAATGAGGGGACATTTTTAAAAATACAAATAGCATGTGCCTTTAGTTTTTCAGTGAGGTCTGAAGTGAAATTCAAAGAACAGTAACTATTTTAGTTCTGAAAATCTGTTTTCAAACTTCAGGAAGGCATTCACAATAGAGTGTAGAAGTTTCCTGTTTCAATCTAAAACCAGATAGTTTTTTGGTGACTTCTGCTAGAACTGTTGTTCTGACTTAAATTTTTCTGCTCTGATAGTCTTCTGAGGAAACTGTGAATTTAAAGCCTGATTGAACAGAACACTGAAGCTTCTGGAAAGAGAATATAATAATGTATGTACATTGCTATTTCAGTGAAAATGTTTGAATCTACCTGTCTGGCATTAAGCACGTGCACAAATTGCTTACAAAGCTGATCCTAAAGTGATAAAGTTACAAAAGTCTGTACTAAAGCTAGGGAAGTCAGAGAATCTCCAAGTATGTTTAACATAAACCTTAAATCTAAATTTTGAATTCACTTTGAGCAGCTGTAATTGTTGCCAAACAGGATTAATTTCAAATTTATTTTCTTTTCTGTACACATATTAAATAGTTAGCAATAAGCTCAAATTTGTTAATTGTTTTGTATCATAGTTTTGAGATCTTGCATTTGAACATAACTTACAGAAATACTGACAAGCTTGTGTGTTGACTGCTTTCTAAGTGACTGATCCCTCATGCTTACAGTACATATGATAGCTCAAGTTTGGGCTTTTTTTTAAGAGAATTATCTCGGCCACAACTTGGTAAAAATTTCTGTTTCATTTTAATCCTATGAGTTTGTCCATTTGAACTTTGCACAGACAGACACGTACGCTAACACATACAGTTAGTATTTTAATTTTAGTGTGAGCAATGTACTTTCCCTAGCTGAGCCAAAATTAAAAAGTAATTTCAGTGTGGAACTGAGATATTTAAAATATATTTTCTCACTGGAATGATAAAAAAATGATGTTAGCAGTTTTATGAACAGTGAGAAGAGCAAATGAAATTAAATACTGGAGGCTGATGAAGGAATGGTAGTCGTGATGTCTTTCTCACATGGATTACATCCCCCAGTAGACAGTGAGATATGGGAAACCCATGTTAGATCTCTCAAAATCTCAACAGTCAGAGAAACTATACATTTATTATGGCTTAGCAGAGGGCCCTATTTGTCTATAATTTATTTTGAAGGGCCTTTTCCCAGTTCATCTTGCTGAAAAGATTACACTCTATAGGGAATGAGTTGAGATTTGGAGAGAAGAGAATGACCTGATAATGTGATGATTAGGACATTCATGTAAGCTATGTGGCCAACAGGCCTTCTTGCAGCTTATTTGTCAAAAGTAGAGTATGTGGCCTCAGGGACTTCAACAGACTGATGGATCAATCAGGTTTTAGGGAGCGTTGGGTTCAGATCTTCTCACCCAGCAGTTGCCAGTGTCTTGTACTCATGCTCATGATGCTTAGCAAAGTGATGAAAGATACTAGTGCTGTCAGTGAAATTTTCCAGTCAAAACTATTTAGTGGGTCTTTCAAGACAGTATTTATTTATTTTTACAGCAAGCTAACTTATTTCTAATAAGAAAAAAATCATCTAGCTCTATGTACCAATATAAATATTCTTGCTTTTCAGAAAGACTTTTATTATCTTTCTGAGGTGTGTGTAAATCCAATTTTATTTTGTGGTTCTGCTTGCTTATTTACAATATATTGAACTCCACTGATTTTTACCTTTGTGAACTTAAGTCGACTGCTTTTTCTAAATGGAAAATGAAATGATAAAGATAATTGCCCTAGCTTGAAAAATCTTTAATGTATATTAGTAGAACTAAGCTAACTACAGTATGGATAAGCATATTATTTACTTATCTGGGATAACATATACCTGAGTCCAGGATAAGCCCTGTCTTTTTAGTTTTGGGAACTATAAGAAAAGTTACTTTTATTTAATTCTTTGCCCAAAATGCTGCGATAAAAAAAATAATCATACACTTTGATAAGATAATTTAATGATGATACCTGGTAGTTCCATAACAGAAGGGGTATATAATGCTACCCTGCAAAATAGTTTTTGCTGAACCTACGCTAGCAGAGACTTGTCCAGTTTGTCAGGGTGGGGTTACTGGCTAAAATCCTTCTGGCTTATGATTTATGCACAGTTGTTTTGAACCCTGCTACAGAGCGATCATGGAAACACTTTCGAAACAAAAGCTAAAATAAACTTTATACAAATTACATAAAATGGCTGTTCAGCATTTACGATGGACATCTTGAATGAGGAATAGTAGAACAGACACTGCTGCCTCTGTGCAGAAAATCATGATTCTTCATCACTCTAAGAGGATGGTGCAATATCCCTTAGTTGAAATGTAAACTTTCAAGAAATGAGTAAAGCCAGTCTAAAGGTTACTGCTACAAAAAGGAGAAGGCCTCATTCTCCTTTCATCCTTCTATTTGTTCCTGACCTTGTGTTTCTGTAACTTATTTTATACTGACTCTCATGCTCATCAGATTTTTTCCTCAATGACTTGGAGAAAACTAACTTGGGGTTTAAAAAGAAGGGGATGTTTTTCTGCTGGGTGAGTGAGTTGAAAGAGCTCACAGAAAAGGTCAAGGCGTGGCATAAGGGCAATGGTGAGATGTGCATTTGACCTAACTGTTTATGAAACCACAGCCAAAGAAAACATGGCTCGGCAGCATTTGAGAAACAAGAGGATCCTGTGTAACAGATGCAGAGATGCCCTGGTGCGCAGAGTTACAGATAATGCATGTACGTTTTCATGAGATGTGATGCTTACAGTGTCAAACTCAACATTTTGCTTTTGTAAGGATACTTGCTCCACTACAGACTCTAATCAAGAAAAAGCATTTTTCACTTTGAAGGTGTTTGCATTTTCTTTCTTTAAAAGAAAGTACGTCTTTTGAAAACTCAGGAAAGTCAATGGCAAAACTTTAAATCAGTCCTTAAGTATGGTTCCAGTTTGGTCAAGGCACATGTTTCCCTGGTCATCCTTCACAGTAAATGTTAGGAGAAAATTTTCTGAAGCGTCACTGAGAGCAAGACGCCAGTTTGTTCTCACTGAATTGTCTTCCAGTGGTATCTCTTTCTTGCCATCAAGTGTGTAAAGAATATGGAAATGCCAGCCTGTGTGAATAGTTACCTGCCTTGCCCCTTAGCACATTGTAATGAATGTCATGAAATAAATAAATAAATAAACCTCCTAGAATTATCCTATGAAAACAATTTATGCTGTGACAGTCCATTTCCAGTACATCAGCTGCTTTAAAATGTAACATTACAGCCAATTCTAGAGAAGAATGATGTGTATGTCTCTTGCTCTAAGTTAGTTTCTGGCATTTTGAAGTACTTTCTTCTAGTCAATTTTAAGAAATAAGTATTTTTTTGGGGATAAGAGAGGGTCTTGTACATCTGCTACGTTAGCCTTGAGGGAACCTCCTACCAACTTGCTATCAACTTTTCTTTACAAATGTAGAACAGAATTGGAAAGCAAAAGGAATTGTTGCTCTAGAAAGTAGCCTAAACTGTCACATAGTAGAAAGTACCAGCTATGCGTAATGTAAACTCATTAGTGCTATGGAATCTATGCTGTCAATCTTGACAGCTATGTTAAGTCACTTTGAAAAGTGAATTTTCTGCACATACAGATTTCACCTCCACAGTTCTTTTAAGTGCGTTTGATTTGGTAATTACCATGAATAAGAATAGTTAGTTACGTCTTTGCTATTCCAGTGCTGCGTTTGATTTATTTAACAGATACTAGTTCCCATTGCAGCTCTGTGACATGAAGTATAACAGTGTACAGTTTGCTTTGCCAATCAAGATGCTAGTCTGTGTGGCAATGTCTTTCCTGTACCTGACCTGTACAAGCCCTAGATGTAGTTTGACCGTGAGTTTCTGCCTTACATCTTACTTCCAACACATAATTGCAAGAAGCAATCCAGGGGACTCTTGTCAGATGGTTGCATTGTGTAAACTTGGTTGTGTCTTCTATAAAGTAAATTCTCTTGCAAAGTACAGGCACTTGGCTTTAGGATTCTTTTTGTCTTAAAAATACACATAGAAACTGAAATGCTGGAATGCAAACAGGAGTGAACTTCTGTTTCTCATGTCAGTTTACGGCCAACTTCTGCCTAGTGCAAGGAGCAGGGGAAAGTGTGCCAGGCAGTGTCCTTTGTGGGCACAATGGAGAATCTTTTAAAAACCACTGGATTAAAAGAATGCAGGGAGGAGCTGTATGAGAGCAGGAACTTGAATCCAGTGTAGTTTAGCATGTACCTGTTCTGGTTTTGCAATTGTCTTACACTCAGGGGAGACAGAATCCCATCTTGGTTGCAGAGTATAAATCTGGTATGTATCTGTTTGCTTCTCGGGAACTTTGCTGGCTGGCAAGGATCATTCCTTCGACTTTCAATTGCCTGAGTTATCTGATCTTAGATGAATTTTAGCACTTGTTTATAGCACGCAGTAACTTCTTGCCAGCAGCTAGCTTAGTGTTTCAGATTTTGAAGTGTGCTCTGTGCTGCTGTGGTTGTGAGACGTAAGGTTTTCGGATTGTGCTCTTAATTTGTGCAGTTTGTCTATACAGGTGAGCATTACACTGCTTTGTTATTTTACAGTTAATGTAGGCACGAATCTGTTCATCAGGCGTATGCAAAGGGCTGTTCAAGCTCGCAGTACAATGGGAAGTTCTGTCCTTTCCGTTGCTTAACTATATAATGGGTAAATGATGAATTGGAGGGCTGTAATTCACTCTCTGCTACTGATTTGCACCATTTCATGGTGATTACACATGGACATTGCTCTCAGCTGTGTTTTCAGTTAAGCAAATATCTTATTTCTACCACAGCTGACACACAGCACTTGAAAAGTGCAGTCCTCATTAGTGGTGGTTCTTGCTGAATTTTTGCTTACCAGGTAGGTAGCTTGGTTGGTTGGTCGGTCTCAACTATTTTAATAAGGGTGAGAAGTACGAGATTTGAGTATTATAGTTTGTACAGTGCACAAGTGCAAAATGGGATCTTTGGTTGTTGGGGTTTTTTCCTACGCTTGACTAAAATCTTACTTATGGTTTCTCGATCAGTGTATGGCATGATTGTTTCTTCTGTTTTGTGGAGTGCTGAATATCCTGGAATTTTCTGTGCTTGCAGCTGACAGCCTAGAATAGCATAGTGTCCTCTTTCTAAGCTATTTTCTGGCTTGTTAAATTTTATAAGCAGATTTATAAGAATTACATATTTCCAAGATAACAAAATATGAAAGTGAAATAGCACGTGTTTCAGTTTCATTGGGAATATTGAAAAGCATGGTTAAAGATTTGAAAAGTATAGTGTGAATTTTTAAAATGCATATGTGTTTGGAAAAAGTTTGCTGTTCATTGATCTGTCTGGCATATCCATATTGTAGCTTCTGCATGACTCATCTTTGTAAGTATTCTACTCTGAAATGGCTTTTTTCCCTTAATTTTTTAAAGTAAAAAGTTGATTTTAAAAAAAACCAAACAAACAAAACTTTGATGCATTAAATTATACCTATAGTGTATTATAAAATTACATCCAAGTATCTAGTTTATAATAAGATTCCTTAGAATATGTTCTATTTCTGTTCTGTGTTTCAGCTCTTTTAAGATCCTCCTGAAGCTGCTACAGCCCAAATTACCATTTTGCCTGTCTTATATTATCTTTCTTTGCTTTAAACCAATAACATAAATTTGTATTTTCTTTTCTTACAATTGCATATTTATTCTGGCTGAATTCCAGTTGCATCATACCACTGAAATACACTATAATTTCTCTGGAACAAAATGGGTCACATTCTTAATGAGCTGTTCACTGTGAGCATCTGCTTGAAGATGAAAATAATTGCTTCCAGATGTTACCATTTCAAGAGAGGACATTTCCTTTAAACAGCACTTTCTTTCAAAGCAGAAGTTAGACTCTTTAGATGCAAGAGAAATTGTCAGCTGTTTTCAATCAGTGTAGCTCCATTGAAAACAAACTAGGGATAGTTAGCTATTTTGTCTATTTTAAGGCAAGAGTTTTGTGCCAGTTTACACTAGCTGAAGATCTGATTCTCCAGCTTCAGAGAAAACAATAAAATTTTGAATTGATTAAAAAAAATAAAAATCAGTGCCTTCATGCTCACTTATACCGGGTAGCACCTTAGTGTTCATATGGAGCTACTGAACTCAGAATGAGTGGAGTGAGGTATTACTCTCTGTTGCATAACTAAGTGTAATTTGGGAGTCTATAGAAAAAGTAAGGAGTAATGCCAGATGGTGTACTCAAAGGGTAGATCTTTTGTTAAAAATCTCTAGAGGGATGCCACGTCTCCTTGCCTTATTAAGAAATCTTCCTGTCTTATCATGGAACCACCATGTCAGTGTCAAAAAAAAAAAATAATCTAAATGTTGTTTCATTTCAACAGTAAATAGAGTCTGTCCATGGGGCCAAAGTCACCTCAACCTGCTAACCTTTTTGGTGTTCAGTGGCCTTATTTCATAGCAAAGTTCTCATTTATAGCTATGTCTTAATCTGCAAGGGTCTGCTATGTTAACAGCTGTACAGAGCCTGTTCCAGTCCTGATTAGTGCTTGATGTATTTCACTCAGAGGAAAAAAAAACAAACCATGAGGGTATGTTTCTGTTTATTTTCCCATCCATACACAAATATCATTGTCAATGTCAGCAGGAATGGGAATGG